TGGTGATGTCGGTGATGGCGGTGGCGACTTGGTGGAACTTCTGGCCTCATTACCACCCTGATGACGTTTGGAACCTTTCTTACAGAAGATGCATGACTCGAAGCCTTTCCTCCAGATTCCATCTCACGCATAGCGTCTGCTAGAAAGTTTCTTTTCCTATCACTTTGTTTGGTCTTAGCATGACCTTGAAAAAAAACCAAAGTTCAAGTGACGATTTAGAATCAACTACAAATGTGGTTACGAAGTTCATATATTTTGAACTGCGGTTATAGATACGTATGATGCACGATCCTCGCAGTAGAGAGCGCTATTTATGCAATAGCGAAAATCAGACCTGAAAAAAATCAGGCCTGTACGGGATTCGAACCACTGACCTCTGCGATACTAGTGCAGCGCTCTACCAATTGAGCTAACAAGCCAACTGGGAGCAGGCCGTTAAGGCCTGATTTTTTTCAGGTCTGATTTTCGCTATTGCATAAATAGCGCTCTCTACTGCGAGGATCGTGCATCATACGTATCTATAACCGCAGTTCAAAATATATGAACTTCGTAACCACATTTGTAGTTGATTCTAAATCGTCACTTGAACTTTGGTTTTTTTTCAAGGTCATGCTAAGACCAAACAAAGTGATAGGAAAAGAAACTTTCTAGCAGACGCTATGCGTGAGATGGAATCTGGAGGAAAGGCTTCGAGTCATGCATCTTCTGTAAGAAAGGTTCCAAACGTCATCAGGGTGGTAATGAGGCCAGAAGTTCCACCAAGTCGCCACCGCCATCACCGACATCACCATGGACAATTTGATGGCCTGAAGTCCGTTTTGAGATTATCTGAGGGAGTAAACAAACTGTCTAATCAGCACAATGAAAACCACAAAAATAAGGCAACTCAGATACTCGATGCTGAGAATAAATTACAGGAAACAGTGCGATTTCTTGAAAGAGTCAATGGACAGCTGAACAATATTTCAAAATCGCACGATCATAAACAAAAACTTGAAAAAGTCGATACACGAGGTAATATTACTCTAAAAGGTGACGACGAAGTCATGGTGACGGATTCTTTTCCATTATTTCCGGAATTGAGGAGTATTGTTGAGCATGGAAAGCCTTTCAACCCGGATGTGACCAGAGCAGCTTTTGCAAGAGCCAAGCAAATTGTCTGGGATAGCGTTGGGCAAGACCCATTGACCTCTGCAGATGTTGGGCACCTAAACAACACTAAATTGACTAATGCTGTGGCTTTGCTGGAAATGGCTGTCAGAGAAGCCGAGAAAATGGAAAGAAATAAAACAAAATCTGTCGATCAAGAAACAAATCATCAGGTCAACAGCCCTAAAATTCCCGAAACCCAAACCAAAGTTAACCACTCAAAACATAGTGACGCGCAATTAAAAGTACTCAGGCAACTCCTTCTTGAGGAACTTAAGCAGACCAATTTAACTGAAGATGGAGCTGGCCACGTCCTCATCAGTGATATTCCATTTCAGAAAATGAGAAATCAAAAACAAAGCAGATTGACCCAAAAACCTTTCTCATCGCCGGGAGACTCCTCCACGGGTTCAAAAGTCAACCCGAGAAATAAAAATCAACCAAGTGGAACTCAAACTCTTTTGGAAAACTACACTTCATTTATAACTAACCTACTAAAAGCTGCCCACCTGAGCGTTTCAAAAAACATTACCAAAGATTCAAGCAGCACACCTGTCCAATCAACATCTCATGCAAAGCTGGCCAGTGAATCTGAAGGTCAACAACCAGTTATTCACAAACAAAACGCATTACTTTCAACTGTAGGACTGAAGTTAAACACAACGAAAGAGCAGCAGGAGGAGCATCGGCTCTCCTTCGCGAACGTAGCCCAGGAGCAAAAACAACAACAAAGACAGCAGCAACACATTCAACCTGTCGATTTGCCCAAGGAACGTCTTGATGCAAGAAAAGCCTTTGGTACGGCTCAAAAGCTGGTGAAAGCCATGCTGGCGAGACAAGAACTTTATAAAGCAGAGGCTGACTTCTTTAACAAAATTCATGAGATGTTAAATGAAAGTTCAAAATACCCCTTGAACACAGGCCCAGAAAAAGATGCAAGAGAGTCAAGGATCACTAGCCAGCCCACAGTTGCTAGTCCTATAAAATCCCCTTTAAGCCAGTCTCCACTGAATACTGCGAGTAGCCCATCTCTTAGCGGCGAGGATAACAAGAAACAGCCATCAGAATCCCAAAAAAAGTTTGATGAAGCAGCACATCTTGAAGAGAAGGTGGCGGCTCAACAGGATTTGATGTACGATGCGTTGCTGAAAGGTCATACAATAGGAACTGTAAAAGGCGGGGGCGGTGGGACATTTGAGGAAGAAGGCGCCGTTCGTGAAAATACAGGACAAGAGGGATTAGATGACTCCTACAACACGGAAGACTACGGTGACTTCAAGGACAGCGACGAAGAAGCTGAAAAAAAATTCTACCACGACCACAATCAAGATAATTTTGAGGCAAAGGAAATGGAGGACACCACCTTAGGCCTTCGCGATAAAATAATCCAACTGATTCCAGAACGTACGTCAATTAAAGAGTCTAGTGGTATTGACATAGCATCTTCCCAGACGGGAAACATGCTCTACGAAAATAACTTGAATTATACTTTCGGTGAAAGCGGAGACAGCTCGGGTGATCGTAATGCAAGGGAAAACGACAAGACGAGGCGCACTAAATATATCTACAGGAAACGAAAACTGCTGGGCAAACTATGAAAATCTTACCGATAAGGCCTCTTTGCCGATTAGAGGAGGCAAAAGAAGGTGCTTTTTGCGCGTCTTTTTCTACAGATAAAATAATGTAAAGGATCCGTATATTCCTAGATTAAAATATTGCCGACGACCCTATATTGCTTTTCAAGTAAAGCAGGGAAGAATAAAACAAACGAACACTTAAGTCTAAAGAATGTGCTACTGTAATCACAAAGTTTCCAGTGAAGTAACGATTAGAACGTGTCCTTACATAACTTTGGCTTTGTTAGAAATGCAATTGCGTTATTTGTTAGCTACAGAGAAGTAAGTAATTCTTGAATTGATCAGAAATCTGAAACAAGGGCACAAGATAAATCAATGACATTTTTTTAATAGGAAAAACAGAACAGTTAAAAATACTCTCCTTCAGTCTAAAATTGGCCGATTCATGTTATGAGCCAAGGTCATATCACTAATATCATTTCGTTACGGATCTAATTAAAATCACAACTTAGATGTCAAAATCACATAAATTGTGCAGTTTTGAAAAGTCGTTTTCGCAATTTCCAAAATTACTGCCAAACCAAGATAAACAATTCCAATTTGGCATCTAATCAGAGACCTTTTTCTCTGGTTCAATTGCAAAGTCACCATTACCGCACTTTCAAAAAGTCTTATGGATTAGTGTTAGGTTTTTAACCTTACGTTACAGGAAGATTTCAGTATAAATGTCATCATGTTTTATTCATTATCAAACTAAAAAAACATTTTGATTCGAAACAACTTTAAAAATGTTGTGGCTATGTAAAACCTTAGCTGTAGTCGCTCATTGACGAATGGATTGCATGAAATGACAAATGAGATAAAATGTATACGTATTTGCTAAAGCTCGGGGAACTGTACATCAAGCAGATGAAAACAAAAGATTTTTCCAACCCGTCATGAGAATGTTCCTTGAAAGTTCGTGCCAAGACATGCAAATTGGGTGAAGGCCAGAGAAAAAGTAGGTTACAAAATTATTCCCTCCCCGGGCATAAGGTGTGCGTTTTTCCAAGTAGTCGTACTTTTGTTTTGCTTAACCCTTCTCCTCCCACGGGTATGCTAATTAATTTTCACAAAAACACAACACCGTAAAATAATGGTTGTTAGTTGAGCGACATTTAGTCAATTTCCATATATCATAGCTCATTTTGAAGTTTAAAGAATTGCCTACACATTGAACCAACAAATTATGCCTGTCTCTTTTAATGCAAGTTTCTCACTTTATCGTCAAAGTTGACATATGAAAATAAGTAACACTAAATAAAATTCTTAGTTGCCAAAAAACTGTCCAATAATAACAAAATAGTAATTTTTGTCACGTCAAAGGAATGACCTTTAAGATAAACCACAGATATTTGACATATTGATATAAAAAAGCTTCTTACGGCTCTCAAATGGTAATACAATTTTCATCGTCAATTCAAATTCTGTAAGTCATTTCAAAAATTACTCACGTGAGGATTCAACAGCAACTCAATTCTCATAAGGGTATCAATTTATACAGACTGATCCAAACAACCTTCCTGAGCATAACTGCCTTCTCTATGTTTTTTAAATATCTGGTCAATGATAAACCAACCGAAAGAAACAGCCAGGTCTATAATCCCAGGAAAGATAGATACAAAGAATAAACAATTTGGAAATATATTTTTTTGAACAAGAAAACACTAAATTAATATTTCTCAGCAGCATAGACATACCAGTGCTACAATGTCAGTATGCTATTGGCAAAGGTGTGCCACAATTACAGCAATAAACAAACAGTTTTTGACAACCATCAAGCCAATGTTCTGCTACTTTATTGGAGAGTTCATTATCCTATCTGTCTAGGTCTTCTTCTTGCAAAGGGCCTGTCAGGATTCTGTGGCTTCAGATGAGGGGTTGCTGTTCCATATTCAGGATCATTGTACAAATAGTCTTGGAGGGTGTAGTATTTCTCAAAAACAAGGGCTGGTGCACCTGTGGACTCCGCACAGTCCACACTTGTATGAAGTCAACACTCGCTGAATGTGAACTTTACAAGCACTCCATGTTGAGGCCACAAGAGTAATAATTGGTCTCAAATAAAATAACTGGCTCCAAATGTAAAAACAGTTAGCTTCAAATGTAATAACTGTCTCCAAATGTAAAAACAGTTGGCTTCAAATGTAATTACTGTCTCCAAATGTAATAACAATTGATTTTGTAATAACAGGGATTTTGTTGCTAATTTGCCCTTTCGGGCTCCAAAGGCCTTGTTTTGGGATTTTGTTACGGTTTACAGTTGTAGTAAAAAGTGGGCCTTCCCTTTTTTAATACTCACCGCATTGCTTCTTTGCAATTGATTACGCCACTCATATCAATATATTTAGTATTCTTATCTCTTAGTTTTTAGGGTTTGTTTCTTGTATTTTGTCCATTGCTTTCTTTGTAATTAGGTTTTTTGTTTATTAGCACCAGTTCATTAGTCGTTATCTGTAATTACGTAATCATTAGCACTTCGATCCTATTTAATGCTCTTTTTTTATTTCAAAAGTTGTAAATAACTGAAGAAGGTCTCTGACCGAAACGTTTTTTATTAAAATTTTTTATATTTTTTACGTCAGAAGTTGTCCATCCTCGCAATTTTTTAAACTTTCTACGTTCGTGTTGGCTGTGAGGTTTGGACTGCGAATCTTTATTGATCCTCCTGGCGCGGTGCACCTTTGTTGGCCTGAGAGTTCCATTAACGACTTGCCT